GGGACTGAACTTTGGAGGTGTGGAAAAATATCCCTGCAGATTTCTTTGAGAAACTTCCCAAGAAGAATGGAATGGAGGCAAAAGAAGGACGATTATGTTTGTTTTTTGAGATTTTTTGCGTAATTTTCTGTTTCTGCTTTTGTCCTGACGCTGAAAGATGGATAACCAGGCTGACAACCAAATAGCCATACAAGTAAATGAAGGGTGGTCTCTGACTTTTGCACAGCGCTGTCCTTCTTCTTACATCTGAGTTCAGATCCACATATGCCTTTGTTTGTTTTGTGCGTGTGTTTGAAGCCAAGTTGTGCTCAATTGGCACAGGAGCGACTGAACAAATGAAACAACAAAATGGCCCCCCCGTCTTCTTGCCTTACTGCCAGCACCTGCTGCCGTTCGCAGCCTCTGTTGACACGGCAAATCTCACCACTCGGTGCCAAAGAGCAAACCTCGGAGCTCTCAAGCCACAGGCCCACTCAGCCCATAGATATCTGTTCGTATACACGAAGGAGAAGCTAGCGCTAAGTCACAGGGCTAGGGGTTACGGTAGGTTGTTGGAAAGAGCAGGGGATCATAATGTGTTTCACAGTTGCGGTTGACTCTCCCTCTTTCACTCTGCCTCTCTCTGCCCTGCCTGAGCCGGTGTTCAGTCGAGCTGAGTCGTGACAGCTGCTGCGGTGCTGTGGGACAGGCGGTGATGTCTTCCCCATTCTAATGACTCCGCTCGCTTTCGCAGTGTTGTGGGACACTCCGCGCCATTACAGATCCTCTGTAGCGTTACCAAACAGCGGCCCAGGCCACATCTGAAGTCAGCTTTACTGCTGAGGCGCTGAGGGCTAGCACCAGGCTGTTATTTACAGTCCACAAAGACTTTGAAGAGGCTAGGAATTAGCAAAGACAAGCCATGCTACTCCAACCCCCCCCCCAACCTTCACCCAGACCTGGCCTGGTTCTCACTCCACACCACCGTGAGATGTTTGCAGTCTGAGATTTGCTGAAGGAAAGAAAGGAAACCAACATGAAGTTATTGTTTACTTTTGAAATGCTACCAGTGCTAGCAGTGACTGCCTCTGGGGGGCTAGTTAGCATATTTGCATGATGCTAACTTCTACTTTTGCTCTTATTTGCTTTTCTGGGATGAAGTCTTTCCTCAAATATTCAATTTCAGAACTGTTATGCCACCGTCTGTTGGTTTTTTGGAATGGAGTTCTTGCTAAAACTCAATGCAGGAGATATTAGCAAGATCAGAGAAATCAGAAAGATCAGAAATGCTTTAGCCAGGCACAAGCGTCTGTTTTTCATTGATTGCAGCGTATCTGATGCTGTAACAGAAAGAACTTCAGAGACTCTTTGTTGAGGGTGATTAGCGGCTCCCACGCTGTCCATTGATTTCTCTTTCACGCAGGGATGCGGAGATGAGCGTAGACAACAAGCTGGATAGCTGTGAGCTTGATTAGCCAAGTTTTGCATCCACTCATATGCTCTCGGGGAAAACACTGCGCTCTGTCTTAGATGTGGACGTCTTCACTACGACAACATTTGGAGAAACAATCAGGTCCGTGACTCATCTACAACTGGATACAGCATGTTACTGGAAGCTTCTCTTCACAATTTCCAGTTTAGCTTTAAGCTATTCGACCACATTTCATCATAAACAACCACATCTTGCTCTAATTTGAGATCTTCAAAGTGCTTTTCAAGATAGACCATATTAAACAGGGATAACGTTGATCATTTTTCACTTTGTTGGAAGCAGGCCTATCGACATCCTTCCTGTAGATAAGGCTGAAAACAGTGCTGTTTTCTAGCCTTGTATGTTTAGGAGAGATTTTTAGCTGCCTCCCAGCAGTAGCTCAACGTGCAAACCTCTCCATCACATCCTTTGTTCCTTCATCACATCCACCTACACAGCTCCAGACTGCTGAGCGGGTTCTTTCAATTTGCCCTGCCTGCATTCATCCCCTCTAACAGCACTCCTCCACTCCATTTCAAGAGCTTCCATCACACAGTCAGGAGCAGAGGAAGGTTTGGATGAGCGTTAGAAAGTTGTGTTTGGACAGGATCTGGTGTATGTAAAGTTCTAAAAGAGAAACTGATGGCTTTTTGTTAGGATGTGCCAATTATAAGCTGCCTTCGCATCCCTTGAGGATTATCGGGTGCTCTGTTGGGAGACCTGGAGGCCTGCGTTAGCGCTGGACAATACAGATGTGTGGGCAGATGCCATCTGGGGCTCGGAGAACAAAACGGGATGTGGGGGGCGCCGCATGGGGAATTCAGTCAGGTGACCTGCGAATCTAGGAAGAGAATGGAAAATGATCCGACGGTAATCAATCAAAAACAGCGGTGACACAAATGACCAAAGACAAACGGGCGCGAGGCAAAGCTGTGCCCCCCGATGTCACCGCCGCCCGTGGTGGCTCCCCGCCCACTGGCGCTGGCGATCAATAGGCCCTGGTGGACTTAGGCTCAACGCCATTGGTGAAGCTCTTCGAAGGCGAACCACCGCCTCCTCGAGGGCTAATTGGCCCTTTATGGTTGCGCAGTCTTTCGTGCACATCGAGAAAATAAAACGCCATTCTCCTCGCCGCCTTGAGTGACAATCGATGTCGGGCGGCCATCTCCGAACGCCAGATGCTCTGCCCGGCTTCATTATGCCTGCTGAGATGGTTGTGGCGGAGCAACGCCGGCGCCACAAAGCGTCACGATTACGGCCCTTGGAGACCGAACCCCAAACGTCACCTGCTCCTCAAACTAATGCCATTAAACCAAAAGATCCAAATGGGGCCCAAACCGAAAACAATACGTACTCTCCTCCGGCCTATACGCTGCCAGGAAGTGCCTGCTGCGTTCGGACGGACGTAGCATGCTAAAAGTTTGAGGGAACTACGATCGTGTCCTCACTTATTTGTTAGCCTGAGCGGATGCTGGACTTTACATAAACACAACACATTTTGCTAGAATCTGTAGCCTTTCGTAAGGACTCTGGGGTAAGGTGTAGCACCCCGCTTAGCAGAGTCTCACTTTCAAAGCACACTTATCCATTTAAGACAGTGTTTTTTAAGCTATCGTCCGGTTTCTCATTGATATTCTGGGTCTTGTTCAGTGTGAACACTTCACAGCTTAAGTATTGATGTTTTAGTGCTTCGCTCTGACACCAAGGAGCGTTCAACCTCTGTGCTATTACGGCAAAACAGCCAACAAAAAGCAGTATTTACTTTAGCCTGCTCACAATTATTGCATTATAAAGTCTCTCAATTACTGTGAAACTCCAAACTACTATAAATTAGACATTTTAAAGCTTTATAATATGACCAACAGGCTACCCTATAGCACATAGCAGGACTAGCCTTGATGTTCTTGCATTGTTCTGCTACTATATTCCCTTATGGCCAATTCCAGGGCTTGTAATAGCTCCTCGGACCAAAGACGGTTACCATTCAATCACTGGACACTGGACAGTGGACAGAAGGCACATCAGTGAACATATCAGTGGAATCTGCGCTCTGTAAACATCTGCTACTATCGATGGACTCCTGTGACAGAAAGGCCTGGAAGTGGGCGTGGCGTCAATGCTTGATTGACAGCCGAGGGTCGTTAAGCGTGGGTGGACCACGAAGGGAAGAAGGAGATTCAAAGGAGGACAATAGGGTCAGTTTAGCCCCTTTTCCTCCTTCAAAAGTGCACATAGCCTCACAGAGGCACCATTTACAGTTACGCTTGCTATAGTTTTGATGCCTTATATTAATAAATGAAAGATCCACCACGCGGTCCTGTGAATGTACTTCACTTCTTGTGCATTACAAAAGAGATTAATATCAAAGGAAACTAGTTGTAGTGAGGAATACTGACCAAATATTAAAGCGGACGGCAGGGGGCGCACTGAGACCTCTCTCATAGAACAGCAGCAGTCACGTCCACTTTTTACATTCAGTCTACCAGCCAAACCGACTGACAATACAAACAGAAATCCAGAATTAGTTTTTATGATGAAGTCACCTTCTTTCTCTCTCTCTATCTGTCGCTCTCACGCGTAGCAAAAGTCAAACTTTAACTTCAGTGTCTAAAATAGAGGCTTTGAGCTCTTTTACTCCTTCAAATGAGCTGAGCTGTTCGTGAAAATAGAGCAAACTCGTGGAATGAAATGTTAAAATAAACACTTTTTCATGTTTTCCATCCACATTCGCTGCCTACACACAAGGGTTCTGGCTTGTAACAGTAGCGGAACCCTTTTTGTTGCTACCTAGAACCCTTTTTTGCTATTACATTTTAAAAGGTTCTTTAAATAACCATATATACAACGTTCACATCACAGCTGGCAGGCATTTAACCATGAAAAGAGCCGTTTATGCATTCAAATGGTGACAGTTTTATTTATAAAGAGTGACTAAAGAACCCTTAAAGAACCACTTTTTAAGGTTACCTGTATATAAAGTGCAATAAAGAACCACGCTTTAAAACAAACCACGCGTTGTTATTTTTTCCTCCACCTGCATTCCGACAAGCCCCGCCCTCCTGCACGTGGATTGGCTAGTCATTTTTTTTTCCATAATTATGGTATGCGCATAAAGAATAATAATAAAAAAAAGCAGAATTTGCATGTAATTTATTATATTATACGATAACTGGTATGACTGCATGACATAAATATAAAGTAATAATACTTTATATCAGGAATTAATATAGAAGATAAATTAATTAAAAGAAAGAGAAACAACAATAAGCATCATTAGAATATATAAAAAGAAAGAGGGATTTGAAAAAAAAGAAGGAAAAAAGTAAAGTAGATTCACACTTGCAGGCAGTCCTCCTGTTGACGAGGACGAGCTAACCAATCACAGTGTAGACAGGAGGTGGGTCAACAAGAGAGCAGCCAATCCTAGCAACGGGGCGGGACTTGGGACGGTGTTTGGAATACGGGTGGGAAAAAAAGGCTTCGCTGTCAGATCCGCCCCCCTCATTGGCCGAATGTATGTGTGTGTAGCGTCAGTGTGTGCCTATGTGTGTGTGCGTGCGCGCGCGTGTGTGAGCCGTCACTCTTTACTCCACAGGGATAAAGACAGACACAACTTCGGTCCGCTCGCGGAGCGAAGGGGAGAGAAACACGCACGGCACGAGACGGAAAATATAACAATAATAATTTATATATATTTAAAAAAAATGACCCGGACGGCCACCATCGCGCTCATATCTCTTTTATGGATATTTAAGAGAGCATCAAGTGCGCGGGTTTATCCTCCGAACGAAGGTAAGCACGGCGGAGATGAAGCCGAATCGAACGACGGATAACCGTTGGAAGTTGTTGGTGTTTGTGTTTATGTTTACGCTGCGCGCGCACGGGAAGAAAAGTCCCATCTCGAGATGTTTTATTTTATTCTGCCGAAGAGAAAAATGATTATTGTGGATGTTAGATTCGTATTGGTGCCTTTTTACGAGCGAAAGATGAAAGTAAGTGCGTCTGAAGTAGTTATTTTTGTCAGTTTGGCTGGCTAACGTTATCGTTAGCTAGGTAAAATGTTTTTTTTCCTGAGATAAATGTCGGTTAAACGGCTAATTTGTGTAACACGAAGCGTTCATCGTAAAAAACGGTACCAAACAGCGTTAATGAAAAGCCGCCTAGCTTTAAATCTACATTATATTAACTATAGTCAATTTCTTCCTTTATACTTTTATACTCACGTTTTTTTCTGTGTGGGAGAAACAAATTTTTAAGCAGTTAACGTTAAACTAGCTATTTTTCTGACGGTTAACCGGCGACACCAAATAAGTTACCTCAGCAAAACTGAAACGCCGTCCGAGCTCACGAAGCTGAACTCATCTTGTTTGAATTTCCCCGGTCCACCTTAAATGGTGCAGCACTTGCATTCTGATTCTACATTCTCAGGCGCCAGAATGGAACTGCTGCACCTTTTAAGGTGGAACGGAAAAATTCGAACAAGAAGCTGGCGAATTGGAAGCATCGTGTAATTCAGCCACAGCTCGGACATTAATATGCTGTGTAACCATTTTCGTTCGTGTTATGTAAGGAATTCACGAAGGGTTTTAAGAAAAAAACCCTCGAATATAGCTTTAGGACGGTTAACCGAGATGCTGCAATCTCCTGTTTTCCCGTAACGTTACTGACCACCTCCAAAACAGTGAATTTAAAATAGACTCACAGGGCAGGGTTTAGTTTTCCAAGCCAGGTATTCATGCTTACATGTTTCGCTTTAATACCGCAAGGTGGTCTAATTTACACTCTTAAAACTGAAAGGGTTCTTTGTGTGATGCCATAGAACTTTCGGTTCCCTGAAGAACCTCTCAGTGGCGAGAACCTCTTTTGTTCGCGAGATGTGAGTGTGAAGAACATTTTTAAAGTTTAAAAGAACATCCACACAGTGGAAAGGTTCCAGATCATCATGTGGAGGTTCTTTAAACCTTTGAAAGGTTCTTCACTCCTCACAAATCTGTTTCTCAAGCATGGGAACCAAATGTGGTGTGTCTCAAAGAACCCTTTGTGGCTGCTCTGTTTTTAAGGGTTTACCTGCTGTTGTGGATTTCAGAGAGTATGTGTTTGTTTATTTATTTATTTATTTATTTGTGTGCTTGTCTGTGTTTATTTGTCAGATTTTGCGTTCGTATGCGATCGTATCGTATGTTTCTTTCATTATGCAGATCCAAGAACACTAGGTTACCTCACATTTAGATGAATTTAGATCTGTGTTGAATTATCTTCTACAGTGTAGAATTAATATTGAACAACAGAGCTGAACTCTTAATTCGTTGCCATGTGGACTTAAATAGGCACCAAATGTGTTCATTCAACACTGGGAATTTTGCTCTCTATAGTTACAGCTTTCATGCAACAGAGCCATATTTCATATAGGGCAGGAGGAGAAGAGGGGAAGAAGAAAAAAAGAAACCCCCAAAACAAGGCTCCTGAGGCCTGCCCGCAGTTGGAGGAACTGGCCAGGCCGAGCTAATGGCCGCATAAACTACGCTCATAAATATGGTTCCTAAGCGAAGGCGCCGAGTTCCTCAGCCCTCGTTTTCTTATTTTTCGTCTATTTTTTTCACCTTCTTATCTCTCCTGTCTGCTTTCTTCTCTGTCTGCAGTAACGTTGCTGGACTCCAGGACGGTGCAGGGCGAGCTGAAATGGGTGGCGAGTCCGGCAGAGGGAGGGGTAAGTGCTTCCAACGAGGAGTCACAAAGGAGAAAAGAATATTTGTTGGTTTCAGGCAATCATATTTGGAAGGGAAACTGCCAAAGAGTCAACAAGAAGTGCTTTATTGTGGGGTTTTTTCCCCCTTTGCGGAAATGCGCCGTCAGTCTTTCGTGCTGAATAAAAACAGATGATCATTTGAGTTGTTTCAGAGCGCCGGAGCGTGCCAAGAGCCTCCGAAAAAGTCGCTGAAAGCTCTTTTCTAGAAGCAAGTACTGCAGGCGCGGATTCTGACATAGGCCTGTTCCGGTTTACGTCCATCTATTACAGAAAGCAGTTTCAACAAATTAAAGGCTTCCGCACACCAGAAGGAAAATGGGGAGGAAAAAAAATCTCTTTTATGACAAGGAGCTAGTATTTTAATTTCACATAATGGCTATTACAGAGGATCCCCCTAGGCTACACTGGTTGTTGTAGGCCACTGTGAGTTTATATCAAGCATCTGCTGTAGTTTCTTGCCACCCCTGTGTCTGAATGTGCAGATCAGTCAGAACTGACAATGGATTGTGTCTTTTATGTATTGATGCTAGTCAGGATATACAGTAGTTGACTGGCTTTGGACTTGTATGCACAATGGATTTATCTCTAATGCATCTCTATTGGAATGACCTATTTGTATAGTCTGACCTGAATCACGGTCCCTCATTTGATCGGCTTTTTTGGTTAATTGCACCATACTGAGGACTTCAGCTCAATTCTTTGTCTAGTGTTCAGGTCTGATTGTGAACTCTGGCTCAGCTTTGGCGGTTTAGATGCCTTATAAAGATGTGTTATAAAAAAAAAGTAAAAAAGGATGGGTCATAAATCATGACAGGCCTTTTGAAAGCTTTTTTGTTTAATGCCCTCACCAGAAAGCGACACTCTAAAACTCCCTAAAACGGTATTATGTCACAGCTTTAGCATTTGTGCACAGTTAACCTACAGTGTCTGGACACGAGCAAATGCCTTCAAGAAAGCAGAGGCTGTCCGTATTAAAAACATAGATGGACACTATTTTCAACCACGTAATGCAGTATTTAAGAGCGGAGTGTCAAATGTTGTTTAAGAGTGGAATGTCCAAAGTTTCTGAAACTGTAATTTCTCACCACTGCTAGGTTAACATCCCCTGTCTCCCCAAACAGTTTTAAAAAGAGGATTAAATATTGATGTCCAGAAAAAGGTCCAAGTCTTTAAAGTACTCTCCAGAAACACCTTTGCTAATGCAAGTTTGGGCTCGGTTGTATATAGATATAATGGACGCTTGACACAGCCTTGAGTAGTTCCAGATTTCAAGTTGTGCTGTCAAACACAAATCTTCTCCAGCATTTCCCTTCCTCTGTGGCTCCCTCAAGAGCCCGGAGAGGCCAGAATGTTTCCAAACAGTTGAATCCATCAGCTTAGACGATGGTGCTTTGAAAGTATACTTTTCAAATGCTTCTCTTCTGGAGAGCGCACAGCTGACGGGATGGCAGAAACACAGCAGATGCGTGATTAAATTCTCATCATCAGAAAGTAATCAATGCAAGTCAATGCAGCTGTGCAGTTAGACTCTCTTCCAGCCTGCATGTGTAGGATGGAGTGCACCTGCTGAGATAAAGGGCTCTATAACTGAATCTCTCTCTCTCTCTCACTCACTATCTCCGTCAGTGGGAAGAGGTGAGCATCATGGACGAGAAGAACACGCCCATCCGGACGTACCAGGTGTGCAACGTCATGGAGCCCAACCAGAACAACTGGCTGCGGACGGACTGGATCGCTCGCGGCGGTGCCCAGCGAGTCTACATCGAGATCAAATTTACCCTGCGTGACTGCAACAGCCTCCCGGGAGTCATGGGCACCTGCAAGGAGACCTTCAACCTGTACTACTACGAGTCCAACAACGATAAGGAGCGCTACATCCGCGAGAACCAGTTCAGCAAAATCGATACCATTGCCGCTGATGAGAGCTTCACTCAGGTGGACATTGGCGACCGCATTATGAAGCTGAACACGGAAGTGCGGGACGTGGGCGTTTTGACCCGAAAGGGCTTCTACCTGGCCTTCCAGGATGTGGGAGCGTGCATCGCCCTGGTGTCCGTGCGGATCTTTTACAAGAAGTGCCCTCTGACCGTGCGCAATCTGGCCCAGTTCCCAGACACCACCACTGGGGCGGACACCTCGTCGCTGGTAGAGGTGCGCGGGTCCTGTGTGGACAACTCGGAAGAGCGGGAAGTGCCCAAGATGTATTGTGGGGCAGATGGCGAATGGCTGGTGCCTATTGGAAACTGCTTGTGCAACCCGGGTTTTGAGGAGCGAACAGGAGCCTGCCAAGGTAAGGGATTTGGTAGCTTCTTTTGTATGCTTTCCAGGGGTTCTGGGCCATCCTTTGTTTTGCAGGCACTTAGTTAAGGCAGCTAATTGTCTGTAATCGATTCATCGATAGACTTTTGTTCAATTAATCAAGCTCTTATGCCTTCTGCGGTTTCCTCTCACTGTGCCCGTCCCCATCATTTGAAGTTCTGCCTGTGTAATGAGCAACTTCTTCTTTTGCGGTGAAGGGAAACAATAGAAGCCATTTCACCCCCATTGCTTCCAGTAGTTTACTGCAATCTGTTGAAATTACGGCACTTATCATGAATGTTATAAAGCATCATAGAGCACTTTTGTTTTTAAGTAAACAACACCTTAGTTGAATTGAAGGCCTTCGCTTCATATGGAGAACCACATATTCCTTGATCCCACACATGTGTTCCATTTGTTACCCACTCCCCAAAAAGGGAGTATAGCAGTGATATGGCAGTTTACAATTTCCAGGTGAGGAAGAAAAGGCAAAACATTGGTGTGTTTTGAGCGCGGGCATGCTGTGTTTTCTCACTGGAAAACGTTAAAAGTTTACCCTGATACAGACAGCTGGACACTCAGCAGAGCTTGGCGGATTACGCGGCTGTTGCCGGTCAGGGGGCCTGCTGGTGATTACGGATCGCTCTGTTTGATATCAGAACACCTCCCTGCGGATTTGTGAGCGAAGAGCGCTAGCGCTAATTGTTTTTGTTCGAGCGGCAGCCGTGTGGCGTACGTCTGTGGAATGCACTTTAATTAGATCGTAGGTTCGATCTTTCTCTCTCTCTCTCTCTCTCTCTCTCTCTCTCTCTCTCTCTCTCTCTGTCTCTCTCTCGCATGCTCTTTCTCAAGGTGAGAGATTGTTTCAGCGCAAGGAGAGGGCAGGAAGAGAGAGAGAGAGAGAGAGAAAGAGTAGGCCAGATAAACTATGTGGTATGTGTCACAGTGAGGCCATTCTGCGCTCTCTAAGTTTTGCATTTGGTTCTCACTGTCCATGACTGGGCCAAAGGGCGCTGAAGGGCTCCACACAGTGTCCGGGTGAAGCAGGGGTCAGTGCAGATGAAGGGGAGAGGCGAGGACAGGCAGACAGTTTGAGAACAGCCCCTCTGTCTCTGTAACCTCGCTGTAAAAAGCGTCTGGTCGAGGAGAGGGTCACTGCTTGTGCACGGGTGATAAACGGCGTGCTAGCCAGTCCACTGCCGGTTATTTATGAGGGCTATCTCAGCAGGCTAATTGCATGACAAATACGGGGTGTAATTTAGGGCTCCTGTGGGGTTTTGGGATGGGGGATAGAACTGCCTCTGCAGGGCGGTCTCTTAGTGTCTGTGTGTATATGGGTGGCTGCTCGAAGGGGTACACTAGACTAGTCGTTTTAAAAGAACTGTCAGCTTTTTTTTTGGCGGGTCTTTTATTGGTGGAGCAAGGTGACAGCAACTGGGTTCCCTTCTCTCGCTCCTTTAGTCTCTTTCTGTCTCTCACCCTCACCCTCTCTCTTTCTCTGTGGTTTCTAGTGCTTCACAGCTGTGTTGAAACAAAGGAAACGGTGCCATAATTCACTGGATGCTGAAGGTCGTTTCCATATGGACATTTAGCGGAAAATTCTAAATCACTTCACAGTTTGAGATAATGACTTTATTACTCTCTGAAATGGAGTTAGGCAGTGTTTTTATACCACTGGGATATCGTATGTGTTGGCAACCATCACTATCGCAAATTACAAGCCCGACTCCAAAAGCCTGATACGGAACACATCTTTTTTAATATATGCAACTGTACGAACACATGCATAGTGTCTGATTTTGGCCCATATTAATATTGTTGTAGCACAAAATGTAGTAAAAATATATATTTCAGTTCAATCAGGTTTTATGAGGTGTTGGAAGATCTTTCATAGGAGATGGCTCTCCACACGGTGTTGCTGGAGACCCCGCGTTCTTTGCTATTTTCATTAACTGTGTATTGTGGCCCAGGCATCCGTGGTGGATTAACCCATCAGATGTTGTCCTCAACCAGGCAACAGGCAGTCGCATCCCCATTGAGGAAAGTTCAAAAGGTGGCCCACTCTCCCAGCCTGGAGATGAGTGTCAGTGTCTTCTTAATAAGCCCATGTGTGTAGCCTGGATAAGGGGGAGGGAGCTATGGGTTCACCTTCAATGTGAGACATATAGAAAGGGGGAGAGCACATTCTCAATGGGGCGTCTTGGACGCCTCGTGACAAAAAAAGCCCACTGAGAATAAGGGATACAAGCCTCATAGCCCAGAAGGCGTCAATGGCACCCTTTGCCTGATTGTTGGGGTGTTGGGGTCTCGGGGCGGGCAGGAGCAGGAGAAGAGGAACACTAGACGGGGTCAGGGGTGTCCCCCCCACGCCCACTCCGAGACCGGGGTCATGGCCGAGACTGATTAAGACGTCAAAATTTTGACAGCTGCGCCTGAGCCGGGGCAGGTCTGGAAATAGGGCGAGCGAGAGATAGGGCCAAGAGAAGCGTAAAAAATCCGCCAGTGCTTTAAATGTGAATGGAAGCAGGAGGAAGGTGCAGCCCGGGGATTTGCGCCTTTCTCTTCTTTGTGAGAATTTGTCGCTTTCGTTGCTCATGTGCTGGGAAAAAGTGAGGGAGAAATGCTGGATGTGTTTGAAATGGGCAAATGCCTTGTGGGGAGTTGGGCAGCGTTTGGTGTGATGGTCGCCAGCTGTTAGTATTAGAAAGCACCCCTGCTGTTATAGACCCAAAATGTAATGGTAAGAGTTTTCTTCAATATCCAGGCCAACTCGTGGGTGTGCGTTCAACATAGCAAATACAGGCCAGCCAGCAATATAACCGTAACTGTGGTCCATTTTCCTGGTCGGCTTGAGCTCTGTTTTCATGCATTTCAGGTTTGGAGCGATGATATTCTAAAAATGAATTATGGAGAGTGGAACAGGAACAGTCTGAGGCACCATGCCCTTAAAATTGACATTTTAGCCAAAATGGAGTTGCAGATATTGGTATAATAAGAAAACTGCCCTTTAGGTATGTGATATCTTGGAGAGTGGAAGTGAACTTTTCAGATCGGCGGAAAACTGAAACTGAAAAATGGTTTTCCCTTAACAACCCTGAAGAACTCTAGAAATTTTGTGATGTTTTTTCTTAGCACCACGTTCTAGGTGGAGGAAAATGGGACATGTCATGGGCCAGTGGTTTAAAAGAAACATTGCAGCCTTTTTTAACCTTTTATCTACCTACTGCATCTGATACAGTTGATTGCCACAATTTTGACACGTTTGCCTGCACTTAGAAGGTAAATAAACACCTAACAACACTTATACTTGAAGACGGTAGGCAGTTGCTTTGGCACTGGAGGATTCCTTTAAAGCAGGGGTGTCCAGTCTCATCTGCAAAGGGCCGGTGTGGTTTAATCAGTTAGTCTTAGTCTTCAAACATTTCATCAGATGACCTCGTGCTTTGTTGGAGTGAAAACCTACATCCACACCGACCCGTTGTGGATAAGATTGGACACCCCTGCCTTAAAGCATTGTTGTGCCAAATTGATAGAGTGTGGCTCGTTTCGACTTGCGGTGTAAAAGTGAATTCGAGTTTTAATCACACATTGACCAAATTGGGCTACTTAATGAACTGTATCGATTTCTGACTTTCCAAGTGTCAAAGCAAGTGGCTGAAACACTGTCTCTATTTGAGTATTAGCACTCCAGTGTGTGCGTCCGTGCGGTATGCAGTGTACTCCGTATGTGTGCGTCTAATTAGAAAAAGCTAGCATGTTTATCTCAGTCCTGTCATAATTATGAGCAGGTGTGTGGGGTTCATCATCAGCCTCAGCTGTGTGTTGTTGTTACTGCTCTTTTTCTCCGCCAAACAATAGCCTCCATCCGCTCTAAGCGCTCCACGCTATGAATATTCATCGCTTCCCCTTTTTTGTGCTTTTGATGGCAAGCGCATATGTTGATTCCTGTCACGATCCCCTTCAGTTCTCCATCCAGGGCTTCTGCGCTGGACAGTGAATGTGCCGTCAGCTGTCTCGGGTAAAAAGGAGGGAGGGAGTGAGGGAGAGGGAGCGAGAGAGAGCGATGGAGAGAAAGTAGAAGAGGGATGCCCTTTGATATCAAACAGATAAATCATTTGCATATGTTGAACGTCCATGAAATGCAAAGCCAGCAAACTTGTGTAGACAATAGCGTTCTCTTCCCTTCTGAGAGAGAGGGGGGGGTGCTCATCCCATTCTTTTCAATCCGTGATCAATGCAGCAGGCTGTGCAGAATCATTTCCACATTTAAATTTAAATTAGATAGTTAACCATATAGAATTACATGGTTAAACGTCTTGAATGGCCCTGCGTACATTCTAAATCTAAACGTAACGGATTAAATTTAGTCCCATTCCCGCCCTGCCACCATTTTGGGTGCTTGTCACTGTCAAAGTCCTGTTGTTTGCTGTGGGCGAATGTGTGTGCGTGCGCGCTCATTGGCACATGTGTGTGCGTTCTCCTTGACCCCGTCCTGTCTATCATGGTCGGGTCTTCCTGTGCGGAAATGCCCTCAACAACTCCCAGTCCTTCAGTTGTCATGGGCTGATGGATGGACGGTGGGTCTGAGTCTGTCTGCAGTACACAACAACTGGGAAGGTGGAGGAGTGGAGGTGACTCCAGGTGGGCCTGGACCTCTCAGTTCTACAGTTAGCACTGATTTCTAATTTATCTTAGAAAAATTTTGGTACAAGGCCTGACTTTTCCACTAATATCCACCAATGTCACCCTAGTGACGACAGAATTTGCTCTTTGTGTTCCACAGCATGGGCATCGTCTGTTCTTCTAGAACACAGAACAACTGTGAGATTAAAACAGATTTAGACCAGTTTCAGAAAGCCTATAAACCACAACAACCACTGTTTAGTAACTACATAAACTGCATAGAAACAAGTATCTGACAAGCCAGCTCATTATTCCATTTTGTTATGCTATTCATTTTTTTTTCTCCTGTTTCTTCTGGTTTCCAGCGTT